CTGCCCATCTCCCTAGAGCTGCTATCCATGTTTTAGTCAGCTAAATATATATTGCACAAGAGGTGTTTATTGGCTTTCACTGGAAATTACAGCCCCAAATCACTTAGGGACATTTGAACACCTCTCTCCAGTGTTTTCTGAGACCGATGAGCACTCTTGCCAAGACTGATCTGGGCAATGCTCACAGGCTGCATCCAGCTAAGCCCTTACTCTAGGCTCAAAGACCATTAAGATTCCCCAGTGGATGCCCCAGAGCAAGACATCTTGCCCTAAAAGGCATGAATAACCCTACCCCTGCACCCCCGAGCCAACCCAGCGCAGTCAGACTTTATTTGGCAAAATCAGAACTTCTTGCAGAAGCTGTCACCCACCGGATTCTCCTTCCTTTACTGGCTTTTCTGTCCACTTTCTTCTTTATTTTGCTTCGTAACTTCTGGATGGCCAGCCATTGCCTGAGGAATGCAAAACGACAGTTACACAACTTTGAGAGCCACTAGGAAAATAAGCCTTTGGTACACTGAGGTCTGAGGCCCTTCCTTCTACCTATTGCATGTACACAAGCGAAGGAGATCAGAACCTCAGGAAAGCCAATATGAAACTTCAAGTGCCCGTGGTACCGCTTCACTCCACGGACACGGCATTTAAACAGTAAGCATTTCTCCTGACCCCAGCCACAATGGGACACACGGACCAGGCCTGCTGATCCCGACGGGACAGTCGCTGTTCCATGAGAATATTCTGCCTGCAGGGAAACCCAGGGAGGCCACAAGCTTGGCTCCATTTTTCATTCTTTCTTGATTCCCGAATATTTCTAAGAATCTTTAGAATTAAAAATAAAATCTTTACAAAATATAAATGCTAAAATCTGTAAAAAATGTCTGTACAGGTACTGCTTTTTTGTTTCAGCCTTGATTACTAGAATAACTTCTGTTTTGCATATAGAAAGCCCATAACAGAATAGATGGTCTGCCACATCCTAAACTGATTCTTTAAGTGAGATAGGTTATGCTAACTTCACGAACAGAATTACCATGATGCAGTAGATGCTCTGAATGTACTTCCTCCCTCAGTTTTGCAAAATATATTGAATATTACAAGCGAGTATTTCTCCCCACCGTCTCTGACTTAAACCTGGCAAATCTAGCAAGAAGCCCTATATAATGCTCCAACTATTACTACACAAAACTACAAAAGAAAGAAAAGCAATAAACACTTCCAGAAAGTGCTGTCTCATCCCCAACTGTATTTAGGAGGGAGAGCTCAGCTCCTCAAACAGAACTTCATCAAGTCAAAAAAGTTTCCAGCAGGGGAAAACTTCTACTAGTTATAAATATTTTTTTTACGAAAATGAGCGTCATCTTACCTGATTTATACAATGAAAACTTGACATCAGGGAAAAAAATCTAGCAAAATCCAATTACTGCAATCTTAATATAATCTTAATTACTGTAATCTATTTTATTGTAAAGTCAGATAAATGTACAATGTAATCACCACTTAAATGTAATTTTGTCTATATCATGTTAAATTATAGTGAATAGCTTTCCATAATATTCCAGACGTACACAAAATAAATTTGACACATTGCACTAAAATTTGGGTAATATTTTACAAGGATAAAAGTTATTTCACCATCACAAAATTTCCTAATGCATTTTCTCCCCCTCCCCATACACACCTCCCCATAGCACTTCTTCAGTGGAGAGCCCTACTCCAGCATTTTCAGCCTTCCTCTGCTTTTACACTTTTCTAAATTATAGCCCATGGCTATTTAAATGTACACTGTTCATTAGGTGGTATTTGGAAGATTCTTTATTTTCTAACCATAGAATTAAACAGAGAAATAAGAGCTTCTCTGCATGGAATTATATTTTACTTCTGCATGCAGGAAACATTCCCTGATACTGTTTTAATTGTATAGTATCTTTTCTTGCAGCTGGGAGAGAGAATACCCAGGAATTGCTTTAACTGATCTCACAGCAGAAGGTTTGCTCCTCTAAAACAATGCCGAATCAGAGCTCATAATGAGAAAAGGCCAGATTTCAGCAGCGGGCAGTCACTTCGTCTAGTTGCCCCTCGCTAGGGCCGGGTAAGACACCCCTCTACGGATTCCCTTTGTGCAGCCACACACAGAACCACTGAGAGACAGACATACCCAAAGCCTGGAACAAGCCTTTTACAACCGGGAAGTATCTTCAAAGGATCGCAGACAAACCAGGGCACAGCTCAAAGACTGGCAAACTCGGAGGCAGACAGTGTGATCCATAACTAAGGAATATGTTACAGAGGATGACCCTCCTGACTAATAATTTGTTATGCAGTTTCTTACACCCAGATGCTTCCTGCAGAGTCAGTCAAAATTTTGCCCTCTACAATGAACTGGACTGGAAGCCCACAAGTAATTTTGCACTTCTGGACTGGAATGCACTGCTGGGGTGAAGCTAGTGATGTTACAGACAACCTCCTGCTTACCTGCCCATTGCTACCTGGTCATTGGGGTCCAATGAAGTGGTTTTACGTTCTATCAGTTCTCGAAGGAGCTAGAAGAAAGACAACAATTTAAAAGCACAGTAAAGACATGTTAATGCAAACTGGTTTCTCAGAAGACTTAGGAAATTAGCTGCCAAGTTCCCAAGGGAACCTGTATGCCTCAATTCTTGAAACTCCCTCGCAAACCCAAGCCACGAACCAAGGCTTTTTTAACATTTCCTCTGCACGAAAGAGTTTTCCAAGGGAAACAGCTGATGTCTTGGAAAAGGTTCAAGCAAGGAAGCAGAACCCTATGCTAAAAGCGTAAGTAACTGTAGCTCATCGGCCTCTTCCAAAAAGGTCCCCATAGAATACGTGACTGGGACATAACACCGAAGGCCACTTCAAAGAGCTTCTGTATCTAAGTTAATTTCAGATGGATCTAGGAGTAATATAGTCTTCCTTTCAACACATCATGGTTTATTTAGGTGACATGTAGCATCATATCATTCATCTGAAGAGAATCTAAAAGGTTATGCAGAGCCAGAGTGGCACAACTTATCAGCACCATGGTCCAAGCACAGGGAGCCCCATGTGGGCAAAGCAAACTGATGACCTTCAGTCTAAGCAATGGCAAATGACTGGAATCCCTGGGGGCACTGCAAAGCCCGCTCTGGGATTGTTCTGGGATTGTCGGATGGGCGAACCGTTCGGTAACTGCTCCTCCCAGGAGCCCCGAGCAAAGTGCACAATCCCACCGAGGGGAAAGAGGTGACAAGCGCGGGGGGGCGTGAGCAGCTGAGCCTGACGTGAGATGGTCATTTCTCACCCGGAGGGGCAGAATGAAGAACTCAGCTTGTATTTCAGAAGCTGGTACTGTTCCTTGGGCTTTTGGGAGGATAAAAAAAGGCCTGAAACTTCACAGGCTGTTGTGTACACAACTCCCATGGGCAAGAGAGGTAACGCAGGCAGATCTGCAGGAAGACCTCTGCCCCACAGGTCGTGCCCCACACGTCGGGTGGGGAGGGCAGGGGGGAACTGAAACACTTCACCAAACAGAAGTCAAGCATTGCTGGGCAGTAACGCTCGCTCTGCGGAACAGCACAGCAAAATAATTTTTATAGCTAGAGCAGGAATGCTCAAGCAGGCTTTTCTATTTCTTTTCATGTCCTGAGGGCTGGGTTTTGTCCTTTTTGCTTCCTGCAGCCAAAGAATATTGTGAACAGCCTTTTTGGATACTCGACCAGTGCTATATGTTTATCACCACTCACTGTAAATTGTATGTGCTGTGCCTTGGGTATTAGCCAACATATTAACACAAAGAACAGAAATAAACCCTCCAAAACTGAGGGGCACAGACTGCTTTCTAGATGCCAACATTTCACTGGCCACTGGTGAAGTCACTGCCTCAGCTCAGAAAGGACCTGAAACAAACCCACCTGGAAACCAGGGAGTCCAGGCAATTCCAGAGAGATGCTAGAGAAGAAAGGATGAATGACGCTTTTTCTCCCCCCTATACTTTTTCTCAAGTAGGAGAGCTGGACTGCAGTGGTCAATCGAGGTACACTAACAGTCGCAGAAAGCAGGGCTTGAGGAGCAGCCATGATCCTGGCCATAGTCTTGGCCTAAGTCAGCACTAAGTCAGCCTAAGTCCTGGCCCAAGACAGCACAGACCAACCTTTGCACAGACAAGGCAAGAGGACAAGGAAGAAGCTCCGCATCCCCCCAGCAGCCGGGGATGTGTATAGGAAAATACCCGCTCAAGTGAGACAATGGCGTTTCTGAGCACAGCTTAGCTCCTGACGACGACTGCGCTCGGGGCAGCCTGCCCTCAGACGGCCTCCCAGGCACCGACGCTGCCCCACTGCGCAGCTGACGCCGAAAGCTGCCCCGGGCACGGCGCTACGTGAGGAACTCGCTGACCCCCATAGTTTCTGATCACTTAAGCCCACTATGGAGTGAGGGAGGGGAAAGGTATGCACCCCACAAAAGAAAAATGCCATAAAGGTAGCTGGGTATCATTTTATGACCCTTTTTGTATTTTCAAGAGACACTCAAGCAACAGAGATGATAATATTTATACCTGTCCGTGTCTTTCCTCTCCTTCAAGGCATACATCATATGACAAAAAAAACCAGGGATTCAAGTGTAATTAAAAACCTGCCATGAGTTTTTTTTCTATTTGCTTATTTTTGGAGATTATTACTGCAGCAATTACATTTTAAAAATCCAGGAAGAGAGGCCACTGGTTTATTATCACTAGAAAACAGCAAGCTGCTTCTCTGCCCTGTTTATCTGATTGATTCCCAACATCTTTCTGGCACACAATCTATCAGTTTATCTCTCCCACTTCATCACAGTCACTTCTGGCAGCTAAATACAAGATCCAAATCCAGTGTTACACAGACATACGACACAGTAAACCTATGTAACACCACTACTCTGTAAACAGCTGCCCTTAAGGCTAAGCAGAAATGGGATCTTGGTTTCTAGTCAATATTCTGTCAAAAGCAAGGTGGGAGGGAGGGTTTTAACAGCAGCAAGAAATGGTGCAGCAAGGTTTTAGTGGTTTCTTCCTGTACCAGCAATAAGGTGTGTTTACTGTCTCCTCTCATCTTGCTTCCTTGGCACGATGCACAGAAAAAACTGCTGAGTAGTCATGGCAGAGGCTAAGGCGCAAGCGGACAATAATGCACGGACGCCCTACACTCTGGGAGAACTAAGCAGCAAGAAATTTTCAGCAGG